ATATATATATATATAAAACCTCGAATTGGCCGTATTGACCATTTTAATTAAAAATGTCAGTTCAGTGGCATCAGTTTTAATCATCTTGTGCAACTGTCTCCAGAATTTTTTCATGTTTCCCAAATGAAGCTCTGCTCATTAAATACCAAGTACCTGTCCCCTCTAATTCAGCCCTTGGCAACCATGATTTTATTTTCTATGTCCATGAATTTGGCTATTCTAGGGAGCCTCTATAGGTGAAGTCAGGCAATATTCATCTTTTCATGACTGACTCATTTTACTTAGTGTATTGTCTTCAGGGTTCAGTTGTGTCACAGGATGCCGTGGTTATAACATGTTTGTTACTCCCTTGAGGTTGAGTTTAATTAGTCTTGACTCTCCAAGCATTTCTTACATTTTTTTCTGTAAAGATTGGAAGAGGCAACTTTTCCAGCCCTAAACAGTAACAGATAAAATGAGAAATCCTTTGAAAGTTTTTCAGTCCTACAGGTTCCCAAATTTATAGTATCTCCCAATTTTCTTTCATTCCTGTTTGCACACTGAACTCTTTTTTTCCACCTGAGCTTATCACTTTTCCTATAGTATTTAACTAAAGGCAGCGACTAGTGCCTGATACTTACTACTAATACTCTGTTTTCCCACCTCTTTTTCTAAAGCTTTAAATCCATATGGTAATCATCACTCATGTTACTTCAGTAACATTAGGTACATAAGTACCAGTGATCATAAGTAACACTGATCTGCTATTTAGCCCCTGGTCATGGATCACCTTCCTCCCGGTTTCTTTGCACTGCTTGTTTCTGTTTGGTGATTATGCCGATTCATTACCAGTTAGGTCCACAACAAAGGTTTCATTCTTTCTTATGCTACCTATCCATCACGGATCAGTTTTGCTTTTTATCCTTTTTGTCTCATTCAGTATCCCAGACGGAGGAGCACTTTTTTTTACTGTAACATTGTTGGTCCTGTGACAGAGGGAGGACATGGTGATCTATGCATGGCTCTTCCAGCTTCTGCTTAGAAGTGACATGTGTCACTTCCATTGACTTGTTCTTGTTCAGTGCCAGGTACATGGAAGAATATAGATCTGTTTATGTGAGTTCCACCTCCAAGGGATACTAATCCTTTTGCAGAGAAGGGCACCTCAGGGAGTACTGTGGACTGCATTGTATTCCCCCAGAATTTGTATATTGAAGGCCAGCCCTAACTGCCAATGTGACTGCATTTGGAGATCAAGCCTTTAGAAAGTAATTATTGTTAAATGAGGTCCTAATGGTGGGTCCTAATCTGATAGGATTGGTGGCCTTATGAAAAGAGGAAGAGGAGAGATCTTCATTCCTCCACCATGAGAAAACAGCAGGAGAGTGACCATCTGCAAGCCAGGAAGATGGTCTATACCCGGCACAGAACTGGCTGACACCTGACCTTGGATGTCTCAGCCTCCAGAAATCTGAGAAAAATTTGCTTACAAAAGAATTTTTTTAAATGTTTATTTATTTTTGAAAGAGATAGAGTGTGAGCCGGGGTGGGGGGGGGGGTAAGTGGGGTGGGGGCGGTAGCTGAAGGAGAGAGAGAGAGAGGGAGTCACAGAATCTAAAGCAGACTCCAGACTCCAGGCTCGCTCGGAGCTGTCAGCACACGGACCAACGTGGGGCCCGAACGCACGAGCCATGAGATCATGACCTGAGCCGAAGTTGGAAGCTTAACCAACTGAGCCACCCAGGTGCCCCAAGAAATTTGCTTTTGAATCCATCTAGTCTAGGGCATTTGTTATGTCAGCCAGAGCTGACTGATAAGGGAGAGACACTAAATTTTGGTGAACAGAAGTATAACCTACCACGGTCTCTGTCTATTCTTACTTAATCTTCTCTATGAACTTTTAAATTAGCTTGTCTGTATCTAAGGATGTGTTGTTTATTAGGGTAATATTACATGAATTTCCTGATTATTAACTTACTGAGAATTGATATCTTTTTGATGTAGATCTTCCTACTTGTGAATATGGTGTCTTTCATTTATTAGTTCTTGTAGTCTTCATATTTTTTTCTCCCACAGCTTTGTATGTTTTCTGTTAATGTATTGATATGTATTCTGCTTTTTGTTGTTGTTATAGTATGAATGTTTTTGTATGTATGAAGACATTATTTTTATAATCTACAGTTTATAGAATTTTCTTATAGAAAATTCTTTTCTTTGTGACGCCTGGGTGGTGATTAAGTGTCCAGTTCTTGATTTTGGCTCAGGTCATGATCTCACAGTTGGTGGGATAAGAGTCGGGCCTGCTGGTGTGCTCTCCTTGTCTCTCTGTCTGTCTCTCTGTCTCTCTGTCTTTCTGTCTGTCTGTCTCTCTCTGGCCCCTCCTGATTGTGTGTGCACTTTCACTATCTCTTTCTCTGTCTCAAACTTAAAAAAGAAAATTATTTTCTTTCTATAGAATAGTTCTCATAGGATTCTTTTGAGTTTTCTACGTATAAATTATATTTAAATTATGACCGTTTTTACAACTATTTATCTCTTTTCAATTGCATTGACTGTTACCACTTGTAAATTGTTGAATAATTGTGGTGGGAGAGCACCTTTATACTCCAGTGTTTCCTCATGAAGTGTGATGCTGCCTCCGGGGTAAGACATACACATTTAATCATTTTAAGGAAGAATCCTCTAAATCCCCTTTGGTTAATGGTTATTATTACAAATGGGAGAATATTTTGTAGATACTTGCTTAGTGTCTATTTGAATCATCATAGGACTTTTCAGAAACGTGAACATGATGACGTGTATTAATAGATTCCTTAGTATGGAGGTTATTTCTATTCCTGGAATAATCTCTAGAAATCTTCTCTGTGTCGTGGTGTCTCTCTCTTTCTCTGACAGTCAGCATTGGTGTGTCCTAAAACACGGCACCTGTTCCTTTCTCCTTTCAAAGTCTTAGGTTCTCTGTGAGCCGTTCCATTCACTCTGATGGCTTCAGCTACTACTAAAATTCTGCTGCTTCCCCATGTTTATTTTCAGCTTGGATCTCTCCTGAGCTCTAGATCATGTATCCAGTTGCCAGTATGACATCCCTGTGTACGCACAGACTTCAGACATGCTGTGTCCAAAATCTGTGTCTCTTGTGCACACTCTGTGCCCTATTTTATTTCATCTTATAGCACCAGTATGTATCTAGCTGGTCATGCAGACAGCCGGCTTCTGTCTTCACCCTTCTCAGAACAAATTAGAACCAACTTGTGTTCCTGCTTTCTTTTCGTTTTTGCTTTGTAGGATTAGTACCCTATTCTGTAATTTTATTGCTCTGTATCCTGTAACCCCAAGTTTGTCCTCTGTCACTCTCTTCTAAGCTCTTTCCCATCCTGCTTCTAGGGGAGGACTGTTAAAATGCAAATCTGGCCGTGTAACTTACCTCTTCTTACTGGCCCCTCATTATTCACACCCTGTGGTTTAGGAAGTAGTAGGTACTCACACTGGGGAGGACAGAAGCAACCCTTTGGGATAAGGAGGAAATATTTAAGTGCGTCTGTACATGCTTTTAATGTATAAGTAATAAAAACAACGTTGAGTGCATCAAATTTGTTGTGTTGGAATTAGGTCAGATATTTAAACGCAGAACTATAGGGGTGCCTGGGTGGCTTATCGGTTAAGTGTCTGACTTCAGCTCAGGTCATGATCTCGCAGTCTGTGAGTTCGAGCCCTGCGTCAGGCTCTGTGCTGACAGCTCAGAACCTGGAGCCTGCTTCGGATTCTGTGTCTCCCTCTCTCTCTGCCCCTCCCCCACTTGCACTCTGTCTCCCTCTCTCTCTCAAAACAATTTTTTTTTTTTTTTAACGTTTATTTATTTTTGGGACAGAGAGAGACAGAGCATGAACGGGGGAGGGGCAGAGAGAGAGGGAGACACAGAATCGGAAACAGGCTCCAGGCTCTGAGCCATCAGCCCAAAGCCTGACGCGGGGCTCGAACTCACGGACCGCGAGATCATGACCTGGCTGAAGTCGGACGCTTAACCGACTGCGCCACCCAGGCGCCCCAACAATTTTTTTTTTTAAATGCAAACTATAATCTGTTCCTTAAATACCTTTACTGCCTTTATGTCTCGTCACAGCCTAGGAGCAACCATTTGGACATGGTGCTGTTTGTACTTCCAGTAATGTAGCATGTGTACCTGTTGCCCTTGTGACTTCTACTGTAGTCTCATAGTTATGAGAATATGTTGTTCACATTAAACAGCTAATGTGTTTGGCTCTTCAGGGAAGTGTGATTGGATGGCACAAGGGCAGCTGTTTTCTTCTTTCTTACTCTTGTCTACATTAAACACGTCTAACCTCGTTTATCTAGTGCATTACTGCAGGTGTATGTTTACACTAAGGCCTCCATACCAGGTCATACACACCTTTGGGGAGCACAGTTATCTTTTCGTCTCTAGTAGCAAGGACGGTTCCAGATTGACAAGGGAAACTTTATGATTGTACTTTTAGGGATTAAAGAGTTAACATGTGTAGGATAGTTCTACTGTGGATTCGCTTTAGCCCACGGTATAGAGTACAAAGCATGGTGTATTCTGTGTAAGACAAAACACACAAAAAAGAATGAACTCCCAGACTTGTTCTTCTGATCCCAGCTGATCCCTTGAATTGAGACATGTGTCATTCATTACAGGGGTTGGTGTCGTTTGAGGATGTGGCTGTGAACTTCACCTGGGAGGAGTGGCAGGACCTGGATGATGCCCAGCGGACCCTGTACAGGGTCGTGATGCTGGAGACCTACAGTAGCCTGGTGTCACTGGGTGAGTGAAAGTGTCTTAGTGTCCTAGCACTGCTTTCTTCATTGGTAAACGTGGAAACTGTTTATGAGGTTACATGCTACTTAGGTTGAAGATTCGAGGCCCAGAAGAACGTGGGTGTTCACCTCTCTAATCAGAGGTTCAGATCGGCCGTTCGTTGCACGACTCTTGACGCTGTGCTCCTGTCATTCTTTAAAACGGTTTGGTAAAAGGCCCCCCCCTTTATTTCTGATCAACAGGGCACTGCATTACCAAACCTGAGGTGATCGTCAAGTTGGAGCAAGGAGCAGAGCCATGGACAGTAGAGGAACCCCTAGAGCAGAGCCTCCCAGGTCTGTCAGTGCATACTGGGCAGGGGTCTGGGAAGGGGAGAGCATAGCAGATGTTGGCCGTGCTGGGTTGTTTTTTACCCGTGCTTTTCCTAGGTTCAGACATGCTCTATTTAGTCTCCAAAGATGCTTCTTATGTATAAACCACCCCCATCTTTTTTTCTATTTTCTTAGTCTTACCCAAAATCCAGTCTTTACCTGCCTCCTCTTAGAATGTTTTTCTTTGTTAGCCACTGTCTGTAGGTTGTAAGATGCCCTCCTTTCCTCCATCCTCATGCACTAGTTTTTTTCAGACATTTATTTATATACTCATTATTCTTTCAACAAGTGTTAAGCAAGCGCTAGTCATTTTGTAATTATGGGGATAACGACAGTAATCAAACAAGTGCACTCCTTTCTAGGTGGTTACCAGTTATTGAGTCAGCATGAAACACATATACGACATACGAAGTACATGTGAAGTAGTGGGATAACCCGCACAGATGTCACCGTGACAGAAAACGGGGTGTGCCATTTTAGTAAGGAAGCCCAGGGAAAGTGGTTTTGGGGTGATTAATTATTAAGACTGTACTTTGGGATAGCTTAAGTTTAAGGTGGCGATTTACCAAATTTGACAGTATAACATATAGGTGGATATAATATCTGGAGTAGAAATTGGACATCACTATTACAAGGTACAAGTTAGAAAAATTGTTAAAGGCAGAGGATTAGAGGAGGTTACCCAGGGAGTTGTTAAGAAAAGAAGGGGAGCCCAGGACCAAGCGTTGTCAACCACGGCATCACAGGTGGCAGGAAGGTGAGGAGAACCACGCACAGTGTGGAAAGGGGCAGTCCATGGCATGGGAGGAGAATCTGGAGAACGTGTGTCCTCGAGGCCAGTGGAGCCCGGGGTTTCAGGGTGCAGTTGCTTACGCTAAATCATTCTGAAACAATGACCCATACACGGACTCCATTTTCGCTGAAACTAGGACACGTGCAAAACTCCAGAGTGCAAAACACAAGCCTTTGGAAACTGCACATTGTCAAGTAGGGCTGCATATACCAGGAAGTGGGGTGGGGATGCCAGGGTTTTTGATCTAAGAAGGAGCCAGAAAGAGGTTTTCCAATGATGGTGGGCACAGCCTGGGTTGCAGAGCTTAAACCCTTTGGCCAGCAGGGAGAGGTAGCCCAGTGTGGAGGATTGGAGCTCTCTGTACCTGTTATGGTTGTGAGAAGCCAAGCATGCTGGGTTTAATTAGGAATTAGCCGAAAGCGGTCTCTGGCTGGCATGGAGAAGGAGAGATGATGCCCTTGAAAAACCCCACGGATGCCCAGGGAAAGATGAAAAAGCAAAGAAATGTGGGAACAAATCCTTGTTCCTAAGCAACATCCCTGCTGAGATGACAGAAGAATGGCTCTGTACTGCATCCTGAAGTGGCGGATCCAGGAAGACCTCGTCGTCTTCAAAGCTGAGTGATGAGAAAAGGCCCAGCACAAGTGACCTACAGTTATTGTGAGAGAAAGCGGGAAATGGAACAGGAACACAAATGGCAGATGAAGAGAAGTCAGCTGAACACTAAGACTAGGGAATAGGTGAATATTGTGACCAATGGTTTCCTCATGGATTCAAAAAGGAAAAAAAAAAACCGATAAAAAAGCAAAACCAACAAATAAATAAAACCATGATCTGACATTAGAGAATCTGTTGGTGTAACTTGTTACATTATTTCATTAGAAAGAAAAATCATATACTTATCATAATCATACCCATTTTAACTCTGTAAAATTCTTATCCTACACGATGGAAAGAAACTTCTCCATTTTTACATGAACGTTCCGTAAGAAATGCTTAGGTGTTACTTTGTCTCATTTTAGATGTCCAGACTGCAGGTGACCTGATGGAGACTGGCCAGGAGTATCAGAGCAGACTTTTGTGGCAAGTTGGATTGGCCAACTATGAAACGTCAACGAAGGAGAGAACCAGTTTGGGAAAAACACTTAATTTGAGTGCAGCCGACGTTTCAAAACTGATTGTAAATAACGGAAGCTACTCAGGAGTGAAGCCAGAGTTGTGTAATGTGTGTCAGAACACGTTTCTCCCTGGTGAGCCTGGTGGGATGCGTGTTGGAGAGAATGCCGAGGAATGTCATACAACTGGGAGCCCCCTCAGGTGTGCTGAGTGTCCTAGTTGTCATCTGAGGAATCAGACTTTGTGGCAGCCTCTTGAATTTAGTGGGCAAGGGAAAGACTTCAACAAGGGGGCAACACTCTGTACCTATAGGAGAGCTCACATGGGAGAGACTGCCTGTAGGTATAATGAACATCGGGAAGCCTGTGGTAAGTCAGCTGTCACTGCCCAAGAGAGAACTCACATAGGGGAGAATCACTGTGGATGTAACAAATGGAGGAACACTTTTTGTGAGAAACCAACACAGTTGAATCTTGGTCTAGCCGATTTCGAGGAGCAACGCCATAAACATGATCAAAGTGGGGGTAATTTCAGCAAGAAATCACACCTCGCTCAGCTTTCGAGAACTCCGTTAGAAGAGAAAACTTTTGAATGTGATGTATGTGCTAAAACTTTCTACAAGAGGTCTAATCTCAGTAAACATCGGAAAATACACACAGGAGAGAAACCCTATAAATGTAGCGAGTGTGAGAAGACCTTCATTAGTAAAACAGTTCTTACAGTACATCGGAGAACTCATACAGGGGAGAAGCCCTATGCATGTGTCGAATGTGAGAAATCTTTCTGCCATAAGTCACACCTGACTGTTCATCAGAGAACCCACACAGGGGAAAAACCGTATGAATGTTATGAATGTGGGAAATCCTTCCCTGTGAAAACAAAACTCACCGTACATCTGAGAACACACACAGGGGAGAAGCCCTATGAATGTAATGAATGTAGGAAATCCTTTTACCAGAAGTCAGCCCTCACCATACATCAGAAGATTCACAATAGGGAGACACATCATGAATGCAATAACTGTGGTAAGACATTCCATAAGAAGTCAGTTCTCACTGCACATCAGAGAACTCATACAGGAGAGAGACCTTATGAATGTAAACAATGTGGGAAGTGCTTTGGCCATCGCCCAGCTCTCACTGTACATCAGAGAACTCACACAAGAGACAAACCTTATAAATGTAACGAATGTGGGAAATCCTTTTGTGTGAAGCCAAAACTTACTGTGCACCTGAGACTTCACACAGGTGAGAAGCCCTTTGAATGTAAGGAGTGTGGGAAAACTTTCTACCAGAAGTCCAAACTCACTGTACACCAGAGAACTCACACTGGTGAGAAACCTTATGAATGTAATGAATGTCGGAAAACCTTTTGTGAGAAGTCAACCCTCAATAGGCATCAGAGAACTCACAGGGGAGAGAAACCTTATGGATGTAAAGAATGTAGGAAAACTTTCTACCAGAAATCAGCCCTCACTGTTCATCAGAGAACTCACACAGGAGAGAAACCCTATGAATGTAATGATTGTGGAAAAACCTTCTGTCAGAAATCACACCTCAGCAAACATTTGAGAACTCACACAGGGGAGAAGTTATGTGTGGCAGAGACTGGCTGTATGTATACCAAAACTCACTTTCTCTTTGTGTTGGGCACACAGTTAGCCTACATTTCTCAGCCTCCCTTTGTTGTGGGTGGGACCATGTAACTGAGTTCTGGCCAAGAGAATATGAACACACATGATGAACAGTACTTCTAAGCCTGGCCACAAAAAAACCAAAAACCAAAAAAACAACATGCATTTGCTGAGTTTTTTTATTCCCTGTGCTCCTGAAGTGCAGATGACACACAGGTTTGTCTTCAAAGCCATAGAGTGAAGATTGCAACCATGACCTCAGGCAGAAAGAATTGATTGTGGAGGGCAGAAATCTTTCCATCTCTACCTCAGAAATCCTCACTTGTACTTTACCTGAGTGAGAACCCTTCTATGTGTGACCTGACTACAGCACTACCAATCCATTGTAGCCAGTTCACTTTATGAATTTGTGAATTTGTGGCAGGCTTCTGTTGAAGTTACCAGTCCTTGTGTAGGAAACTCACAGAGGAAAGAACCTGTGTTCTCATCTTTCAACCCTAAGTCAGAAATCATAGGAAGAAATAATGCAGTAAATGTAGGAATACCTTTATTGGTCAGAGATAGCTCATTGAACAGTGAGAATAAAGTAAAACCTGATAAATACCTATTGTGTCCAAATTTTCAACTGAATGTCTGACTTTGTGTCTATCAGAGAATTTCTCATTAAGGGAAAACTATCAGGTTAGGTAATGTGGATGAAAATTTCAGATAGAAATGGTACTGTATTGAAAAAAATTTTTGAACTAGACGACCATTGGTTCTCTGCTGCGGGTGATTTTGCCTACAAGGGGATATTTGGCAACACTAATGGTACTAGCATGGTGTCAATTCTGCCTTTTTCTATACAAGGTAGTTATAGGGCCCATGAAGATTCTAAGGGGTAGAGAAATAGGCTCCACCTTTCGATGTAAGAGCACCTTAAATAGTATGTGGGATGGGACATAGTAGTGTGGCCGTCTTTAGAAAATGCAATAGGACACTGTCCACTTTATGACCACCGAATTCACATTGCTCACACATGTAATCTGTACTATACAAATAAAGGACCTCAATTTATAAAGCTGTTTAGCTCAAAATGTAGGACCTCATCATCTGTATCTGGTCTACATGCACATAGTCTTTTTGGACACAGTCCCTTGTCTGTGACTTAGTCTGAAAGCCTAGGACCTGATGTGACTAGTTATGTGCCCTGCACACACTCAACACACAATGGTAGCACAGAGATGAGGGATTCACCGATGGTCCATTAAAGGGAGAGGAACTGGGAGGCACTTAGCCTCCCATACACAGAAACTGAAATCTGGCAGGGCACACCATCAGTTCCTTAATTAGGATGCAGCGATTCTGGGAATGACGTTAGGGCTCTGGATTCTGCACTCCGTCACCTCTCTTCTGCATGACCTAGCCTGATTTATTTATTCATTTTGCTGTCTAGTTTCTTCAGTTCTGGTTCCTGCCCAGAGGGCTCTTCTCATTTGAACTGTTTCTAAAACTTGTGTTTCAAATTGATTTCATGCCTTTAAGAAAGTTTTTGGATTTCTGATAAATTATAATGTAGTCCACTAGGTGAAAGCCACCCCTATATTTCTGGAACAGGATCCACTCCACCTCGAACTGAGAGATGTGGGGACAGTGCTACTATTTATCATCTGTCATAAGGGTTTACAAGGCACACTCTTTAGAGTCTCAAGAAAAGGGTCTTAGAGCAACACCCTTGGTCTGAGATTTGCTCTGATGCTCCATTTTGCCGGTAGCATCCTGATTGTGACCTGTAGCCTGCATTCATTTCATACTTCAGGTATCTTTGTTTCTGACTGGAGACGCTGGGAAGGAGGAACAGTTTTATTTTCACACCTAGGTAGTCCTGGCCCCTTGGTGTTTTGTCTAGATTGTTCTCTAAAACTGAACGATTTCTTTTAGCTCCTCTGTCTCTACCTATACCTATGGTAAGTGACTCTACCAGCTATGGACTTTTTTCTTTTTGTCTCAGCTAGAAACCCACCCTTGGTGGCTCTACTATGTGATGCTGGGGCTACATTTCTCTTATTCCAGCTGACACAATCTCTGGGTTTCCAAAGAAAGGGCCTGGAGGGAGACTGCAAGGCAGAGCAGGGAGGAGGATCTTCTTCCTTGGCAGATATCTGTGTGGTTGCGAGCAGGGGTGGGGAAGGTTCTGGTCCTGTTTCTCTGTCTAGAACTTTAGTACAGTGAATAGTATTTGAACATACCCTAAAGTGCTTTAAACATTTCACTGGTAAGTATTAAAGAAGGTACCTTCTATTCCTAGATTTTACACTTTTTTTAAATTTAAATAGGTGTTGGATTTTGTCAAAGGCCTTTTGTGCTTCTGTTGAAGTAAGCATGTGTCTATTTAATTAAAAAAAAAAATTAATCTTTATTTTTGAGAGAGGGAGAGAGACAGAAGGAGAGCAGGGGAGGAACAGAGAGAGAGGGAGACCCAGAATCCAAAGCAGGCTCCAGGCTCTGAACCGTCAGCACAGAGCCCGATGTAGGGCTCGAGCCCACGAACCATGAGATCATGACCTGAACTGAAGCTGGACACTTAACCGACTGAGCCATCCAGGCGCCCCTCATGTGTCTTTTTTTATTGTGAATCACCTGAAGCTACAAAATTAGCTGAACTGCTGCTATTCAAGGTGATTATTTCCATTGCTACTCAGGGGAATGTACTAATTTCCAGGCAATGCAGGAGTTGTTCTGATAAGGTGTAACCAATTCATTTATGACACAGGTCTGATTAACTCCATGTCAGAAAACTGGGAGATTTATGCCTGGTGTCTCTAACTGACGGAGTAATTTCCCACCATGTCACATTCCCCCATTCTTCCACAGAAACAGTACTCTCCAGGGAGCCTGTTTGGACCTCTCTGCAATCCCACCACGTTACTGTCCTACCTGGATGTGGGAGTCTTTCAAGACAAGGAATCTCTTCCTACTTCATTCACTGTATTTTGGCTCAGGAGCACTGCTGCCCTTTATTGGGTGAGTGCATTTTCATGGAGTCTTAGGTGATTGACTCCCAGCACACAGGATTTCAAAGACACTATGTTCTTGTGACAGGTGTCGGTTACATATTTTGTGCCCAGGAAGGCACAAACTACACTTGGCCTCCAATTATGTTTTTTTTTTTTTTTTTTTTTTTTTTTTTTTTTTTTTTTTCTCAGCTAATCAGTGGAGACTGTGGGCAAGGGACTGACTGGATGAGAACCCCCAGCACCTCCATCCCCACTGTTGAGATTTCTGAGATTCGGTTTACTTCAGGCCTGAATAAGGAATTAAAGAAACAATCACACTGTGGCTTTGCAGACCTGCATCCTTCTGCCTGGGAACCCAGAACAGTGTGTTAAGTCCTAGAAAGGAGCAGACCAGAGACTATGAGGGTAGGGAGTCCTGCTGTGGCCCTCTGGCTGAGGCCAAGGCTTTACACAGTCTCAGGGCCCAGACAAGCCCTACCCCCTCTGCATAAACTCAGCTGAGGCAGTTGTACTGAAATAGTGCCTTTATTTCCTGAAGTTCATGGAATATGCTCCAAGGCAAAGAGAGTCCTGGCCTAGGAGGGCATAGTACGGCCTTGCTTGGTGGGCAGTCCTGGGTCTTTCTCCTTGCTGACTCCTAGGAGCTTAGGATTGGCCTGTGGGAGGTCAGAGTCTGAGGAGGGAAATGTCCATGTATCCCTGTGCCCACACCCTCCCTGGGACCTGCCTCTTCCCACTCCACACTGCCAGCCCCTGCATTTCTGTCTTCTTTGTGCCCTGTGGGAGCACCCTTCCCCAAAGACCATCCTCTGAGGACTCTCGATCCCCTTCTTTGCCTTCCTGCACCCAGCTCCTTGCATGAGCTATTTCTGCTCCCTGCCACCCAACCCAGGGCTCACAAGTTCTCCTGGGCCAGCCCCTTCATCTTGTTTGCTTTGGGCTTGAGCAGGGATCTGCACCCCAAGCGTTTCCAGCTCTTCCTTAAGCCTGGACAGACAGAGGTAGGGTAGGAGTGTGGGGAGGGGGAAGGGGAGGAGAAAGGACAAGAGGCTGTGAAGAGACCAGGAGACAGGCTGAAAAGGGAGCAGAGATGCCTCAGCCACCTTCCCCTAGAGGACTGGGGGGAGGGCCTCCACACGCACCTCTGCCTCTTTTGCTGTAGCTGCTGGCACTTCTGCTGCAGCTGTTCATGGTGCTGGGCAGCAGCCTCTAGGAGCTCCTGGGCCTTCCTGTTCTCCTCTTCAAACATATGTCTGAGGGGGGTGGGCATCAGCACTGGCATCTCCCTCCCTCCACCCCAGTCCCTGTCCCTGTCCTACTCGTCTTACACTGCAGCTGCTGCCTCCTGGCTGCGGAGAAAGAGCCCCTCAGCAGTGGTCGAGCAACCGTCAGCCCCAAACTGGGAACACAGACGATGCTTCACGTCCTCCAGCTTTGCTTCCACGAGCTTCTCTGCGGCAGGAAGGGACAGATAAGCAGGGCAGTGCAAGGCAAATCAGGGCCTCCCCAATCTCCAAGCCTCACCTTCCCTGAGCAATTGCTCCTTGCTGCTGTCCAGGGCGCCAATCTCCTGGGCCATCTGCTCTGGTCTCTGAGTAGGTAGAAAGGAGGCCTGTGCATGTGTTTCGGCCTACCCCCATGCACCTCAGACAAGCCTACCTGGATCTGGTGTTTACTCAGCCTGCCTCCCTTCCTACTACTCGGGCCCTCTGGGCACACAGGGCACGTTCCAGCCTCAGGGCCTTTGTACTGGCCATCCTCTCCACCTGGAACTGTCTCACCCCAGACACCTGTGATGCTGTGCTTGAGAGGCTCACGAGGTGGTTAACGTTCGGTAATCTTGGAAGCTTTGACGTGAGGCAAGCATTTACTACAGGGGATCCTAAAAGCATCACTAACCAGAAGTGTTCCCTGGAGAATCATTTACTAGCCCTGCATTGCCGTTTCTCTTCCCCTTACGTGGCCTCTTCAATGAACCTCTCTCTCTATCCCAACGTCTGTTCTCTCTGCCCCTTTCACTTGGTATCTAGGATCCCCAAGGGGCAAACACCAGTCTGCTTGGTTCCCCGCTGTCTG